CCGCCATCTTCCCTCTCCATCTCTGGAATCCACTTTCATAAAACCTCAATATCCTACAATTTAAGTAGTTATTAAAATTTCAGTTCAGGAAATTTCCTAGTCTTCCAACATTGCTTTCCCTTTACGGACATGAGACCCTGATCTCTGAGACCAAAGATCAGATTATTTCTCATCTGTTTTCCTTCTGGTGAAATCTGAAGCATTTGAAAATCCATCCAACATCTACAATGACACTCAGGCTTTTTCCTGATCATCATGACTTGAGAGATGAAGTCCTAACACCAGAAACAGTGGTCATAGCAATAGTCACTAGGATCATTCTGAATTTTAAGATTTTTATCTTTCTTTTTTCACTTATATTTCTAGCATGAAATTTTCCGTGCCATGAAATTACTTACAAGCATGATAATGTTTAATAGCTGCATAATATCCTAAGAAAATATAATTTCTTAACATTTTCTCTTTTTTGGACATTGAGGTTTCCAACTTTTAGTTGTTATAAACCACACTGCAGTGAAAAACTTTATCTTTTGGATTATTTCCTAAGCAAAATGCTCCCCCAAAAGGAAGGGCAAGCATTAGTTTAAAAAGCATAAAAATGTTTTTAGTCCTCAATATGTGCCGTCAACTGATTTTCACCAATAGTGTGGGAGTACCTATTTCACTATACCCTCACCAGTCCTGGGTAGTCTTAAAATAGGGGGAAAATTGTGACTAAATTGATGGATGAAATGGTATCTAACTTTAACTTATTGGATCACTGAGGGGGTTCAATTTTTGCCCATTTTCCCCCCTTCATCTGTGAATTTGTTTCTCTTTTTAGATGTTAATGCTTTATTTGTTCAGGCTCTATAAAAATCTAAATTTATCATCTGTCATCTTTATGGTGGATATTTTTCCTGGTTTTTGAAATTTGCCTTCAACATCTATTCACCACACATTTATCTAAGCCTCCCCAAGGTGCCAGGCGCTTGTCAAGTATCAATGATGGAACAGTCACAGCCCCTGCCCTTAATGATCTCAGGCTTAATAGGGGGAGGCAGGCAGGTGAGCCATGAGTGCAATAAGGCTTTCACAGTTTCCATTAGAATTGTGAACAGTCTCCAGTGGATGCACCAAAAGAGGTGGGCAGTCAATTCTACATGTGGGGGCCAGGAAAGGCTTCACAGAGGAGATGATTCTCAACTGAGTATTGATGCTCAATAAGTGAGTAGAGTAACAAAGGACAAGGTGGGAAAAGGCATTCCAGGCAGAGAGAACACGCACAAACAAGGCCAGAGAGCTGGTTGGTTAGGGGAACATCAGTAGTTGGGATGGACTAGGAAGTAAAATGTCAAGCAGGTCCTAAGGAACAAGGGGCTGGAGAGATCTCAGAGCTCACAATTTAAAAAGTTATAAGTAACTTGAGATGTTCGGCAAAGTCACATTAAGCTTTTCCTTACTCCTCTTTTACATAATGAATAAACTGAGACAGTCCTTTCTGCAGGTTTTATTCTTATTTTAAGGTTTTATTCTTACCTGTGTTTCCTTTGTTTCCATTTTGAACACTTTAATTTACTTGTTATATTTAACTGTTTAATCTGGAATTGACTTTGGTATATGATAGCAAGCCTCATCTGGATCTTTCAGTTTTAATGTTCAGCGCATCTATATTGTTCATTAAGCTTCTTTCTATAACCTTATTTTGCCATTGAGTAGAAACAGGGAAAGCTGAATATCTAATAAGATGTATCCCCAGCCGGGGACAATAGGAAGGGAAACTAAAGAAATTTCACTGGGGTTTGCTCTTGTACTGAGCTGTGTTAAACATCATAGGTTCAACTCACAGCCACTCAGGATCCTGGCTCCCAGAGCACCACTGCTACTTTGTATTTATAGATGACACATTTCTAAGGAGCAAACATGTTTCCACAGAGAGTAATTTATTCTCATGACAAGTGAAGGGGGGAGATGGAGGAAAAATATGTCACAGGCAGCTTGATTTATTTACTCCTCCCAGAAATTAGGTGGAGTCGCGTTTGTTTGTTTTGCACCCTGATGTTGGCTGAAAACCCAGTGGGCCTGGCATCTCTTCTCTGTACAGTATAGGCCAGATGCTGGGCTGGGAGCAGAGAGCTGTGATTTGTTAGAAAGGCAAGCACAGATTGGTTCTCCAGTCCCTCAGATCTCCCTGTTCCTTCACGGCATTCTGAAGACCTGTCCACCAATCACGGGGCTGCTTACTGGAAAAAGCAACTGCTGGAGAGCGCTGGCAGTCCCTAGCAACACTCCAAGGCTTTTGAATCTGAGGGCGAACGGCTGTGTAGTCAGCCGATAGTGGAGGAGAGCAGCACCTGTGCCTCAGGAAGAAAAGGCTGTCAGGATGGACACTCCACATACTGAAGAACCCTTCGATAAGAAAGACAAAAAAACAGAAAAGCAAGAAGAGGAGATGGAGTTTAAGGAGCTGGGCGGTCTGAGGGAGGCCTTGGCGAATCTCCGGGGACTGTCCGAGGAGGAGAAGAGTGAGAAGGCCATGCTTTGCTCCCGCATCCAAGAGCAGTCCCAGCTCATCTGCATCCTGAAGCGGAGGTCAGATGAGGCCCTGGAGCGCTGCCAGATCCTGGAGCTGCTCAACACAGAGCTGGAGGAGAAGAGGATGCTGGAGGCTGAGAAGCTGAAGGCCGTGAGCGAGCATGCCCAGAAGCTGGAGGAACGCTTTATGACCCTGGCAGCCAACCACGAGTTGATGATCCGCTTCAAGGACGAACACAAGAGTCAGAACGTCAAGCTCAGGGAGGAGAATGAGAAACTGAGGCTGGAGAATGACAGCCTCTTCAGCCAGGCTCTGAAGGACCAGGAGGCCAAAGTGCGCCAGCTCACCGCCCGGAGCGAGGCCCTCTCCAAGGAGCTGGAGACCCTGAAACAGAGGTGTACTCGGGATGCCCGCCAGGCACAAGCCAGAGAGAAAGAGCTGCTGGAGCTGCAGAGCCGGCAGGCTTGTGCCCACGCCAAGGAGACAGAGCAGCTGCACAGCCAGCTGCAGAGCCTCCAGCAGCAGCACCAGCAGATCGCGGAGCAGATGGCCGCGGCGGAGCAGGCTCACGGCAGCCTGAAGCAGGAGCTGCAGGCCAGACTGCAGACGGTCACTCGCGAGAAAGATGAGCTGCTGCAGCTGTCCATGGAAAGGGGCAGGGCGCTTCAGAGCAAGCAAGCGGAGATCCGCCAGCTTGAGGAGAAGCTGGAGACAGCAGATGTGGCCAGGAGGCATGCGCTACAGAGGTTTGAACAGGAGGCTGTGGCCGTGGACAGTAACTTGAGAGTACGAGAACTTCAGCGCAGGATCGATGGGATCCAGAAGGCCTATGATGAACTCAGGCTGCAGTCTGAAGCCTTCAAAAAGCACAGCTTGGGCCTTTTAAGCAAGGAGAGAGAACTCAACGCCAAACTCCGCCATCTCTTCCCATAGGAAGCTTCTGTTTCCTCTTTCCTCTAGTTTAGAATTGAAATATTTGTGCCTTAGCATTATGTGTATTATACTTTTAAGCACAATAGGAAGAAGAAAAGCTGCTTTACTATGATCTTGTGGTTATTACTATTGTAACGCTAACACTGATTTTCAGTCCTACCACCTAGAATACACAAGATTTACCTGACTTCTTTCTGCGCCTTTGAAATCCTCCAAAGTTTGCTATCATTATCTCTACCTTCCTCATAACCTATTCATGCTCAACCTCAGATATCTTCGTATATCCTAAGATTTTAAATTAGCAGCTCCTATGGGCTTAAGGGAATCTGAAATGCAATGAGATGTACTATGGTGAAAGTAATTTAGTATAGTTCCCCCTTGGAGATAGGTAGGCTTGTAGTCTCCCATAGTTTAAATTATAAACTGTAACAGTTAATAGGATGATAATAGCATAGAGAGCTCACAGAAAAAACTGTCATATTTTGCAACTGGCCAAACAGTTGCTTGCTTCATCTGCTTTACAGCAGTATCCTTTTGATTTTATTTTACTTGCACTAGTTTGGAAAACAAAGATTGAAATCAGTAAGTTCTTTACCAAAGCAGGCAAACTTTATTACAGTCATTCTATATGAGCAATAAGATTCAAATAAGTGAAATCAACCAGTTTGTATTTTTCCTGCAAGCTGAGATCACATTCCATTTTCTTGGGTTTTTCCCTTAATGAAAACAGGATATAGAGGTACAAGGTTGCAAATATCAGTAGTTTCATTTAATATTACATAATGTGCTAACAGAAAAAGGCCCCAATTTAGGTAACATTCAGAGCAGACTGGGTACGATACATAAAGCAATGCAAAGTGATTGTTTTGTTTCTATTAGCATATTTCCTTGCAATTAACTTTTTCCTTTAAAAAAAAAAAAAACCATCTAGGGGCACTTGGGTAGCTCGGTTGAGTGTGATTTCAGCTCAGGTCATGGTCTCCTGGTCTTGGGATCAAGCCCTGCATTGGGCTCCATGCTAGATGTGAAGCCTATTTAGGCTTCTCTCTCTCCCTCTCCCTCTCCCTCTCCCCCTCCCCAGCTCTCTCTCAAAAACAAACAAACAAACAAACAAACATCTAAACAAAAAATACATATGTATACTTAACAGCATGTTTTAGGAATACCTAAATATGTAGATGCATACAAACATAATAGTTATTATATATATTTATAGAAAATTCTTAAAGAGGTAGTTATAAAAATATACTTAGTGCTTACTTATATCCCTGTTTTTAGTTGATATAGAAACATTATTATGAATACCCCTCAAAATAGATTGTAATATGTCGACTTCAAAGGACCGTGGACCTGGGAGGGGGTGGAGGAACTGAGAAAAAGAGAGGACAGTATAGCAAGGCACAGGAGACCCCAAGCCAACAGCCCAAGGCACTGAGGTTTATTGTAGATCTTCTTATATACGTTTTCAGGAAAAACAGATTAGCAATGATTAACAGAAGCTTAGCAAAGCATGTCAACAATGTACATCTGATTCAGCTATCATACGTATTTGCGTACTTGTGAATGAGAGCAGACTTGCAGATACGTATGTTCCAATAAAAATCTTTACCATAGAAGCAAAGACAAAGAAGGGAGTGAATGCACTGTGCTATATACATCTGGCTTTCTTTAAGCAAAACATCCCTATCGGCGTACTAAAGAACAGACCACATTTTCCAAGGGCAATTCATTCAAGTCCTTTCAGGTTATTTTTAACCTTATGATCTCCAGTTTTCTCAGAGATCTTGGACCCTGAATGAATATGGGCCTATGGTCATTATGGTGTTCTGTTTCCCATAGTAATATAGTATTTTTCTTACCTCACAGGGGCCAAGAGTCCCAAGAGCTACCTAATAATTTGGATTTATTAAAAAGTATTACTTGCTATCTTAAATTATTTTTTGAGAGAGAGCATGCGAGCAGGAGAGGGACAGAGAGAGAGGGAGAGAGAGAATCACAAGCAGGCTCCACACTGTCAGTTCAGAGCCTGATGCGGGGCTCAGATCTCACAAACCATGAGATCATGACCTGAGGCATGACCTGAGAATTAGATGCTTAACTAACTGAGCCATCCAGACGCCCCTTGGAATCTTTTTAATAAGCAATTTTCCAGTGTTACTTTACCTCAGGCAGTTTTTTAAACCTATTTTCTCATAGTCCTACTAAGATTGTGATATTAAATACAAATTCCAAGAAACCACATTGATGGCCTGAAAGGACTATGTACTTCTTACATATTACCAAGGATCAGAATATAGGAGCTAGTTTAATCATGGTTGTCCCTGTTCAGCTCATACTATTTGTCATTGTGCTGAAGCACTTTGGATGGCTGGCTTTATTTAATCCATAGGGCCTTTTGAGAAGGTAATTATGTTTATTTCTACTTCAGAAAAGAAAAAACTGGGATTCAGTAATTTTCTCAAGGCGACTTGGTCCCTGTGGAAGCTGGGATTTTGATGACATACCCCATTGAACCCCATTGAACAATTTCTTGACTGTCCACTGAGTGCAAAATTCAGAGGTTAGGCACTTAGAATAAGCATGAAGAAATATCTTTTCTGCCTTGGCAGAGCTCTCACACAGTCTAGTCTAGGCACATAAAGCAATTATATACACAAAACAAAGTAGTTATATATAGTGTGATGTGTTTTCACAGGGGGTGTTATGAGATCACAGTGGGTAAAACACACACACACGCACACACACACACACACACACACACACACATACACACAGAGTAGCTAACTCTGCCTGGGGTTAAAGGTCAGGAAGGTAGAGAGGATTAATTGGCAGGGATAACCAACACAAGAATTGACATGTAAGCTGGTTCTTAAATAAGTAGTAGAATTTCATCTATGGAGAAAAAGATTTGAGACAGCATGTAGAAAACCACAGAGGTTTTTAAAAAACGTGCAGGATATTTGGGGACATCATAAATAGTTGGGAAGAGGTTCAGAGAAGCATGTCTATGGATAAAACTGGAAGAGTAGGTTGTGGACAGAATACTGGGAGCCTAGAAAGCCAGGCAGACCCCTTATATTGGGGGGGGGGAGAAAAGGGAGGAGGGGGCAAGCCTAGAAACATAGCCACAGAAGAGCCTTCCTCTTCCCAGCCAGGTTTAGGGGGTTGTGGTTTGCAAGGGGCCTGGTGCACATGTGCACCAGCACCCCTTCCTTTCTCCCACCAACACCCCCAATGTCTTTCAGTGAGCCCAAGGTCGGTCCACTTGGCTCAGCAGGCTCTGGGGTGGTGGTGTAGCTCACCCAAAGTTTTATGCCCAATGCTTGTGGAGAAGGCAGCTTCTGTGCAGAGGCAAGGTGGGTCTTGAAAACGAGGGAATCCTGGTGCCCCCATACTGAAGTGTGGTCTGTTGGAGGACTTAGCAGAGGGGACTCCTTTTGTGGTAGGGAAGGGTGTGTCTGGAAGAGTGCAGGGGTGGGTAAGGTAGGGGGACAGGGGCGTGTGTCCCCTAAAACATGGGCACAAAAGAAGGGCCTCAGGTGCCAGGGTCTGAGGACATTACTTTTCAAAGTCACGCTAAGGCATTTGTATTAGGTTGTATGATATGAAATCGACACTTTGTGAGTCATCAATTATTAGATATTGACCGGTGACGTTGACTCTAATACCCTTTTGAAAGATATTAAAAGGATAGTGGGTAATGAGAAGAGAAAGTCAAAGATGGATGCCTTGGAAAACTGATGGAAGAGGCTGATGTGGAAACCAAAGGTAAAAGAAATGTGGAAAAAATTAAAATTCCTTACAACTTACAGCCTATTGACAAGTACTTGGGATAGGCAGAGTGAGCTTCCTGGAGGGACTGAACTGCCTCAATCTTAATACTTGGCTAAGAGCAAAAGGCAACCTTAGTTTGACATTATAGCCTGACCTCCAGGATCCTGCATATTTTCTGTATAAAAATCCGTTTGGAAACTTCCTTTATTGCTACACCACCACCACCAACCCTTTCCCCAAAGATATATGTTAGCAATCCTCCTCCAAACATATGGCTCATTGATACACATCTGAAGGGTCTCATGATTAAGATTTTACTAGACAGTAGTAAATGACCTTATCCTAACAGTGGCTAGCCCCCTCAAGGTCCTGGAAACCTTGGCTTGCAAATTCCTTAGAGACTTACACTATCCTAACCCTCTCCCTACTTGAGAGTATATAGTCAGTCACTCCTCACAATCCCAGTGTAGCTCTTTCTGACCACAAGTCCTGTCCCTGTGCTTTACTAAACCACCTTTTTTGCACTGAAGATGTCTCAAGAATTCTTTCTTGACCATTCACTCCCGAACCCCAACATTTCACATCGATATGGAGCCCACAATACAGAATAGGAAAGAGGAATGTGAACTTATCATGTATCAAGTGGTTTTCATTTCATCCACATACCAACTCATTCACTATTTTACAGATGAAAAAAGTGAGACTCGGGGAGGGTGACTTTCCCGAAGCCAAAGAGTTTTGCTGCGGGGGAGGCGGGGGCGGCGCTGGAGCAGGAGAGAGGTTTGAACATAAGCCCCATCTGGCAGGGCCAGCTTCATGGCGTGTCACTTGTATGGACTTCCACACTTGGTTTAACGCTCTGCTGTTCCTGCCTTGAGATGCTTGATCATTGTGTGACAAGGGGCTCCACATTCTCCTTTTGTGCTGGGCTCTTCAAATTATGTAGCTGGGCTTGTTTTCTCCCACTATACAAACTACCTTCTAACCAGCCACAGAAAAGCATTGTTTTTTCCCCTCTGTGCTCCACACCACTTTGCATTCCACTCTCTCAGTGCTTATCTTGTGTGTAATCTGTGACCCACAGCCAGATCCGGGGATGAGCAACCAGTTTAGTCATTGTGGTATGCTGATCAAAAAACAAAATAGCTCAACTCCTTTCCAAGGCAGACCTACATCTCTAGTAAACTTTTCTGCAACATCCACAAGCAGTAACCCTAAAATGAAAGCAGAATAGAAATTCTAAAACCAAATAATGTATGAGTGATGCCCCATCGATAGTGCGATCTTTTGTGTTACCTATATTGAAAGCCCCTCAGTGTGCCTTTAAGAACTTGTCTAGTTAAAAACCAAACCAAACAAACATAAAAGAGAGCTAGAAAAGGAGACAGATTACAGAAAAGGTGAACTGACTGG